GAACACCTAGCAGCCTCTTTAGGGTTTAGGCTTGAAGGCTTAGGGTCTAGGGTTCAGGGTTTAGGGTTTGGGGCTTAGTGTAAGGGTTTAGGGTTTAGGGTTTAGGGTTTAGGGTTTTGGGTTTAGGCTTGAGGTTGGGTGACCTGATGAGAGTGTTTAGTATTGTTGGGGGTGAGCACCTGGAGGGTCAGCCCGAGCAGCCCACCACCGTAAGGCTGAAAAACCCCCAATGTCCATTCGGCAGCATATCTGCCTTCACCCTGCGAACCCTGAAAACCAACATCCTCCCGGAAAGCTAAACCTCAATCCAGAGTCGCACACACTAAGCTCTGAAACTTGTTCTTCATGCTGAAGTAACGGATGCTGCATGGCAATGAACGCTGATTATTCTGGACTCGCATGGGGTGCGACGGCAAAGAACAAACACGCGCAGTTCTCAATGCTACTCCTTTCCCCACAAGCTGTTCAATCCTCAACCACCTTTGGCCCGAAGGCCCATAAATCAACCCCAAGTAAAACAAAAACACAAAAGCCAAACCACAGACCAACACTGTCACTATACCCTCGTAGCACCCTTAATCTGGAGCATCGCAAGTGGCCAGAGTCTTCGTCGAGCGCCGCATCTTCGTCCAACCTCAGATGCGGCCAGGTTCAGGGTTTCGGGTTTCGGGTTTCGGGTCTTTTCTTTTAAGCGCAGTGGCCTTTTCTGTGCGAGCACGCCTGCCTCTTTGAGGCCTACACGGTTTCGGGTTTAGGTAGCAGTCTTCATGGTTTCAATCAGGCTTTCGGTTGCACTGTACTACATCCATGATAAGACCCCTGAGGAGTAGTATCGGTAATTGTGCCGGCTTCTACATTACAAACATGAGCTTCTGCTGCGAACTCATGCAGAAACACACGGGGTTTAAGGGCATGTAGGCATTGGCAGCCAAGATCCGCTCCTTGTTCCAGCCCTGCCCCTGCAAATCGCATCCCTGCGCCGTTCATACTGTTTGAGGACTTCCACGAAAAATATCCAGGATGGGAACCACCCGGGAAGCGACTTCGGTTTGCTGAAGACTGCGCCCAAAAGCCCAAGAACATGAAGACCTACCTCAAGGCCAGGGATCATTCATGATTCCAGGGACATATGAACAGGTCCCCCCAGGCATACAGCACGTCGTCTCTGCGGAGGTCGACTCTGAGGCCACTTAGCCGAGCAACTTTGCAAGAAGGTACTGTAGCCAAGGGTGCTGTACGTTGTAAATGGCATTGCCATTGATGTGGTAGAGCCTCGGACAAGGACAGGCTTCTGAAAATTGGACAAGTACGTGCACCTCAATGTTGAGGATCATTACGGTTCCTGGAATTCCCATTTACGTAGGGTTGCTTTCACAAGCGCTCGGCGGCAGTCATTCAGGACTTTGCTCTGCTTGTTGCGGTCAGGTTAAGGCTTTGCCATTGGCGGTATACACACACATGTACACACACAGAGAGAGATGTACCAGCTGCAGATAGATGTACAAATCGAGAGACGAGGATGCCGTCCAGGAATGTCGTTTTGCTGGGGCTCCTCTTTGGGATTTCTACAGCCTTAACCAACCCTAGATCCTCAACCCAACACCACCAACTCGGGTTCAGGATCTCAGAACTTCGGAAGCCTGAGGATCACCACGCCATCTCCCTTGGAGAGTTTGCCCCGGGAGCCCCTCAAGCAGGATCACTCTACCAGAAAGCTCTGAGTGTAGGGTTCGGACGAGTGTCTATGTGCACCGATGCCCCATTTTCTAAGCAGGATCCGCGCCTGCTAGGCACAACTTATACAGTAAACTCTAAGGCCTAAACCCTAAACCCAGGGTTCAGGATTTCGGGGAAGTCTCTCGCCAGGGCTCTGGCGAAGACGAACAAGCGGTCGCGAGATATGGGAGCCCGCCAAAAGCTAGACAAGCAAAAGCATCATATACTAAAATATACTACTATAATATACTATAATATACTATAATATACTATATACTATAATATACTATAATATACTATAATATACTGTAATATACTGTAATATACTACGATATACTACTATATACTACTATATTCTACTATATACCATGTCCTTAGAAAATTGCCCTTGTGGTGACTGTTCTCCGGATTGAGCTAATTTATACTGCAGCAAGGGGGAGGAAAGATGTACAAAAGTATACAACCCCTGCGCTGCGAAAACGAAGAGGCCGCGGAATATATTCTACTACAATATACCATAATATACTACTATAATATACTATGGATCCTACATCTGGGGAGTAAGGGTAGATACAGGCGCACACCTGTCTTCGCTTCTTTCTAACCCGTTCTGCTCTTGCTCAAGGCTGCTGTAGTTGCAGGGGCAGAACCCTTCAAGTACTGCAGTCTACGGTATGGCCTGAACTCTAAACCCAAACCCTAAACCCCTGTCCGAAACCGATCATCCCAAGCCCCCTACTCTGGCGAACTGCTGCCGTGCCACAGATCCGTGGGCATATTTCTTAGAAATGTGTCCCAGGTATCTCCTTGCAGATCGGTACAAGCCGAAGGGTTTCGGACTGACTGTTGGGAATGGGGTTGACGGAGTTCGTGCTTGTTGGTCTCTCTTTTGGTTTTTAGTTTCAAGACACTAGGATTCTAGGCTTTGTAGTTACGGTCGAAAGTGTTGGTTTGATTTTGAGGAAAGCTTTGTAGGGCGGCGCGGTTCCAATGCTGTCGAGGCTGAACCGCCTGGATTCAGAATGTGGGTTCCTCTGACTCGAGGCCAACGAAGGTCTGCTAAGGCCTTTAGGATTTAAGATAAACAAATATATATATATATATATATATACATTTATTTATTTATTTATATAGTCTATATGAAGCCTGGCCACATACATAAGTATATCTGTATATATATCTATATATACAGATATTCAGGACCTATTTTTGCAGTTCCCCGTGTCGCAGACTGATACATGCAAGAGTCAAGGCACCAATGCTCTGATTGCGGTTGCGAATACGGCTGCCTAAGCTTTGAGACCAATGCCTGCGGGGAGGTCTTGGAATGATGTCTAACAAAAGTAACGCGAACAACCCAAAACCCTAAATGCCGAGTAAAGACTCACCGGACCTATCAGTCGTGCAGGCTCCATCTTGGAAGCATTGGCCGCCGCCATCAAGATCTTTCGAATGTTTAAGGATGCAAGTAACGACAAACAGCCGTCTTCGACAAGTGTCAGGAGTTCAAGCCGGATATGTCTTGTCTCGAGAAGTAGGAACTTAGGACTGGGTGTGCTTGTAAAGGTTTGGGAAGACCGGTAATGTTTCAACTCTAAACCCCAGAAACCATAGTCACAATCGACAACTCCAAACCCTGCACAATCCAAGCCCCTGTAGAAGTCTTACTGCAACCTTAACAGGAACCCGTAATCTTCAGGTCCTCGGTAATGGCTGCCGCGTATCGCGGCGTCCGGGTAGCGCAGCGCCTGACATCGAACAGCAAAAGCAACACAATACCTCGGGCTAGTACGCACCTACCTTCCTGCCTACCTACCTACCTACATACCTGCATACCTACATCCGTACCTGTGATACAGCACAACGCGACACAGCACCGTACCTGTGATCAGGGAATACGAGGCCTGTGCTATGCATGAAACTCCGAACATGAACCTGACCTTGACATCCTAGTTGAAGACGCAAACTTTGCACAAAATATGGCCCACCACCCCAGAAACCAAAAGCCCTCAACCCGAAACCCCATAGGGTTCGTAGGGTTTAAACTGACTACAACACCCAGCTGTAATCCCGAAATACAGAAGCCTAAGAAAATTAGAACAGGGTTTTGGGCCTATTCCGCTATGGTTACGGAGGGGCTGCAAGGGAATTGTGGTTGTGGTACTAGTTACGCATTTCCGCGAAGCCGATCCAATGCTTGCATGCCAACCTTTCATACTCGCACCCCAAAACCCAGTAGTATCGCAAGGGACCGCACTTTCCCTTACCAAATTCGAAAGCCGCCTCCAAAATGAACTGATCCAGCCAGTTGCTTCGCACT